CGCGGAGTGGCTCCGCCCGCTCCCGCCCCCCAGGCGCGCGCCGCGCAGGCGCCTAACACCAGACAGGCCTTTTGTCCTCCTGGCGTCCCCGTAGTGGCCTTCGCCCAAGTGACACGTTTCCTTGGGGGCGTGGAGCGGGCGGGACCAGGGTGGGCCTTAAGGGGACCGGCGCTCGCGGCGCGGGAGGCGGCGCCTCTAGAGCCGGCGCGGGCGCGGGAACCCGAGCAGGTCAGGGGGGCAGGATGAAGGGCCGGTGGGCTCGGGAGGGGCCGGGTGGTCTGCGAGGACTGAGGGCGCTTCAGGGTGGCCCGGGTCGCTCGCCGGGCGGAGTCCCGCCGGGCGGGCCCGCCCCCTCCGCCCCCTCGGCCCCAGTTTCCCGCTGCCTGGACCGGGGCGGCCCGGGTTCATTCATTCCCGGCCGGGGGCTGCGAGCTCGGCCCCCACCCGCGCCCCGTCCCGAAGCCCAGACCGGGTCCGGTCGCCTTCCCCTTCATCATACAGACCGGGGAAACTGAGGAGGCGACAGCTGAGCAAGGTCACTCCGCGGGGCCGGGCCGAAGCCGGCTTCAGACCTACCTTCCCACGACCTCCCTGCGACCATGTCCGGGGTCCACACAGTGCGCGGGACTCGGCGGGGCGGGGGCGGGGGCGGCTGCGGCTTGGCGGGCGGAGGCCAGCGGGAAGCGGAGGGGAAGGGCGAAGTGGCTCGGGCGGAGGGGCTGGGCCGCTAGCCTGGCGATCGGATTTCAGCCTGGCTGTCGCTACCTGTGTGGCCGGAGGCAAACCTCTTCACCTCTCTGACCCTAATATCTTTACCTGTAAAGTGCCAATAATATCTGCTTTGTCAAAATGTTGGGAGAATTAAGGAAAATAATGCAGAAGTGCCCGGTACACAGCATGGCACGCAGAGGGCGCTCAGTGAAGTGGGCTGGAGCTGGATGCGCCGAGAAGGGGACTGAGGCACCCTAGAGGAAGACAGCAGCGGGCCTTGCTAGGAATGAAAGGCCCCAGTGTCTGGGCCTTCCTCCCTGCCCCGCCCCCTCTGCGGGCAGAGTTTGTTCAGGGTGAGGTGCACACCTGGTAGTGAAGACTTGGCCAAGTCCACGTCTACACTGGCCGACCCAATACGCCCTAAAGCTGGGTGGGATACCCAGCCGTGAGCCAGGAGCGACCACGCTGGCCCTGGCATGGGCAGAGGCTGAGCCAGGGCTTGGATGGGGTAGGGTGGGGCCACACCAGGACTGCAGTGCTACAACCCCAGAGCTGGGCTCAGCCTGCCTGGCAAAGGACCTCACCCTTGGGGCCTTCTGGTATATTTCCTGCTTCCTCCTCCAGCCTGGATGACTCAAGGGTCAGCTTGAGGGACAGCAGGAGGTATCAGTCACTGAACCCAGGAGGATCTGGGGAGGACTAAGCTGACAGACAGAACCCTTTCCTGGAACCCCGGAGTCCCAATCCTGCTGCCACGTTTCCTTCTGCCCAGCACTCTCCAGTCCTGTCACCTTGGGGAAGGAAGTGTGACCCTCAGATTCCATCTTCCGGAGGTCAAACGGAACTAGAAAATATAGTGGCTGTGCACCAGTCTCTCCACCTATACATGTGGCAGGCCTTTAACCCTCACTCGACTCCATGATGTTTGTACAGTTATTAGCTCCGTCTCATAGAGATGGAAACTGAGGCCAAGAGAGGGTAAGTGATCTCTGACGCCCAAGGCCAGGAAGTGATGGTACCCAGACTTGACCAGGGGCTGACCCCAGAGCCTCCCCACCCTGTTACCTAGGGCACCAGTGAACTCAGGGAGTCAGACTCCAGTGGGAAGGAGCCCCTGGGCAGGCAACCTCAGCACCTCTGAAACTCTGTGTCCCGGGCCAGGTGCTATGGCAGAGAAGGTGCTGGTCACAGGCGGAGCTGGCTACATCGGCAGCCACACCGTGCTGGAGCTGCTGGAGGCTGGCTACTCGCCCGTGGTCATTGACAACTTCCATAATGCCTTCCGTGGTGAGCGCCTGTGGGGCTGGGGCTCCCAGAGAGGGCAGCAGAAGGAAAACCTCGTTTCCACCTCCACCACTCTGGGAGGTGCTGGGTGGGAGTGAGCCCAGCACCCCATCTCCTGATGATGTGGCCTCCGTGTGCCCCACCAGGGGGGGCCTCCATGCCTGAGAGCCTGCGGCGGGTTCAGGAGCTGACAGGCCACTCTGTGGAGTTTGAGGAGATGGACATCTTGGACCAGGCAGCCCTACAGCGTCTCTTTAAGAAGGTAGGTGCCTGGCAGGCAGGGATTAGGGCCAGTAAGGCGACCTCTAACCACTGCTTTGCCCCTGCAGCACAGCTTTATGGCAGTCATCCATTTTGCGGGGCTCAAAGCTGTGGGCGAGTCAGTGCAGAAGCCTCTAGATTATTACAGAGTTAACCTAACTGGGACCATCCAGCTTCTGGAGGTGAGAGGGCAGGGAGCAGGGGCAGACACTGGGAGGGTGCCTAGCTGGGTCCCTGTCTGGCGGGAGGTGCCAAGCACAGAGCCCATGCTGTGTCATCTTGGACATGTCTTTACCTCCAGCCTCAGTGTCCCCATCTGTAAATGACAATGCCCATGACCTCAGGCTCACCCTCTGTGAAGGAGTAGACAGGTGGGGAATAATGCATGAGGCAGAGGCCATTGACGCCTCCCCTCCACGGCCAGATCATGCGGACCCACGGGGTGAAGAACCTGGTGTTCAGCAGCTCGGCCACCGTGTACGGAAACCCCCAGTACCTGCCCCTGGATGAGGCCCACCCCACGGGTGGCTGTACCAACCCTTATGGCAAGTCCAAGTTCTTCATTGAGGAAATAATCCGGGACCTGTGCCAAGCAGACAAGGTGAGGTCCCCCTGACCCAGCCCTGGCTCTGCTCGTTGACTGACTCCTCACAGCCCCCTGTGAGCCTGAGGCTGGGATTCCGAGAACCCCCACCAAGGAGGGAGCTCAGGCTGAAGTGGTGGTGGCTTGCCCAGGGTCACAGCACTGGCGGGGGCCCCATCCCCTGCTGCTTCTAGAGAGAGAGCAGGCATAGGGCTCTGGATTCCGCTGGGACAGACACGCTGCCTACCCCTGTCCCCCATCTGGCCCATGTCCCACAGGCCTGGAACGCGGTGCTGCTGCGCTATTTCAACCCCACGGGCGCCCACGCCTCTGGCTGCATCGGCGAGGATCCCCAGGGCATCCCCAACAACCTCATGCCTTATGTCTCCCAGGTAGGGCAGAGGGTAGGTAGGACACAGAGGGTGGCTGTAGTTACAGCTGGTGCTGGGGACCTGGGAGGAGCTGACCTGACCTCCACCTCCAGGTAGCAATTGGGCGACGGGAGGCCCTGAATGTCTTTGGCAATGACTATGACACAGAGGATGGCACAGGTAAGCCTAGGACCAGAGGGACCCAGGAGTGGGAGCCAGGAGGGAAACTGAGGCGAAACAAACTCCCCACCCAACTGCCCCCTCCTCTGCAGGCGTCCGGGATTACATCCATGTTGTGGATCTGGCCAAGGGGCACATCGCAGCCTTGAAGAAGCTGAAGGAGCAGTGTGGCTGCCGGGTAGGGAGAGCAGGGAGAGGCGAGGGAGGGCAGAGCCTATCTGGGCAGATGGGCCCAGAGGCGGGGTCAGTCCAGGCCCTTCCACAAACCCCATTCTCTCCTGGGCAGATCTACAACCTGGGCACGGGCACAGGCTATTCAGTGCTGCAGATGGTTCAGGCCATGGAGAAGGCCTCCGGGAAGAAGGTAGCCACTGCCCACCCCACCTGGCTCCCAGCATAAGAGTCTTGGCCCTCCTCACTTGCCTAACCGCTGGGCGCCCCCACGCTGCCCAGGTGCCTCAGCCTGCCTAGCACCCCAGCGCCAGGTGCCTGCGGGCAAGCTGCTGCTCTGCACTTCCGCCTCCTCAGGACCTGGCCAGCAGCTGGGCAGGTGAGGCCCAGGGCCAGATCACCTAAGTTACAACCTCCTCTCTTGCAGATCCCGTACAAGGTGGTGGAACGGCGGGAAGGTGACGTGGCTGCCTGTTACGCCAACCCCAGCCTGGCCCACAAGGAGCTGGGCTGGACAGCAGCCCTAGGGCTGGACAGGATGTGTGAGTGCTGGCCTGGCCCGTGCAAGACAGTGAGGGCTGGGGGGCATCAGATCTGAGCATGCCCACCCAGGGACACCTGCAAGGCTGGGGGAGGCCCTACATCCCCATGTGGCTCCTGAGCACACACCCTGCCCCGCCACAGGGGAAGACCTATGGCGCTGGCAGAAGCAGAATCCTTCGGGCTTCGGCGCGCAGGCCTGAGCCCTCCCCTACCATGGACCAGAAAAGGAAAAGCAGCAGCTGCTTGCTCTCCAGCCTCTGGCAGGAACCCAGGGCCCTGAAGCCTCTGAGGCCAAGCCGAGGCACCCCCTACCTCAAATCCCAGCTGGGCCTGCTCAGCCCACCAGGCATGAGGCCAAGGGCTCCACTGACCAGGAGTCCAGGGTCTCTGACTCTTAACTTCCACAGGGTCCAGGAGCTCATCAGGACCACCAAGCTCGAGCGAGGGGGCAGAGCTCTAGGGAAAAAAAAACCCTCCTCCTGGGCGCTAATTTATACTGCTCTGAAGGAGCTATCCAAAGTATTTAAAATAAAAAAAGTTTTCTTACACTGGGGCAGATTCTCGCAGATGGTCACTGTCACCCATTGACCAGAATCAGCCAGGCCTGAGAGTTGAGGAAGCAGTTTCTTTAATTTTACCGGAATCCAGGACACAACAAGAAAAACACCCAAAACCACATGGAGACAGAAGACGAGACACAACTCCTCCCCCACCACCTCCCTGCCCTAGAGTGGGGACAAAGTGGGGGTGAGACAGCGGGGGAGACCTTGAGCCTCAGTCCAGCCCTGCAGGCACCAGGCCTGCAGAAGAGGAGGGTGACGGGGAGGCAGGGCCCAGCCCCCAAGTGGAGGGAAAGAGCTGAGGGAAGGCCCCCCGGAAAGACTCCACCTCCTCCCCAGCACTCCTGCCCAGGGGCAGGGAGCCCACAGCAGCAAGGGGGCCTGGGGCCATGGCCACATTCGTGATTGAGAAGCAGCTGGAGTGGAGGCAGGAGAGACACACGATTATCTGGGCAGAATCAGTCGGGGTGGGGGCCTGGGAGGGCCCCATGGGCCAAACCCTGAGGTCACAGGAGGGGGCCCAAAGCGGGGCAAGTGAGTGAGGTCCTGAGTGAGTGGTTCAGCGGCTGGGCCCCTTTCTCCAGCTGCCTACAGCCCCTCTAATACTGCTGCCGGGGGGCCCGCCTCCAGGGAAATGGGGCAAGAGAGCATCCCGCCCTGCTGCAGACAGAGCCAGGCCGCTGAGGCCAGGAAGGAAGGCCTGGCCAGGCCTCGCCACCTGCCCCAGAGGCCTGCGGGAAGAGGACGGGTCAGGAAGGTTGGGGACAGAGGCTCCACCGGCTCAGATCCAAGACGGTGCCGCGCTTGCTTGCCGGGTCCCCCACGAGCTGGGGGGGCTGTGCTGGGGGCCAGCGACTGGTTAGACAGGAGGCAGCAGCTTCTCGAGAAATTCCTTCACGGCTGCCATCTCCTGAGGAGAGCGAAGCGAGGGGCATTGTGAGGGGCTCCTGGGTGGAAGGAGGGTGAAGGAGGAAAGGAGTGGGAGTGGAAAGTGGTCCCCTACTGACCTGAGGACAGGAGCTGTGCGTAACACCTGGATACGTCTTGAACTGGACCCTGGCGGGTGTGACAACAGACCGGAGCTTCTCGGCTGTCAGGGCCCCAAACCGCACAGGTACCATGGGGTCCAACTCCCCATGGCACTGAAGGATGGCCAGGTCCTTGGCACTGCCATTCGCTGCCTGCAGGTCAGACAGGGCCCAAGGCAAAGCCAGTGCTACAGCACAGTCCCCAAGCCACAGAGACACCCAAAGGGCAGAAGGGGGCCCCGTGGGGATGCTCACCTGGGGGAAGGCGCGGTGCAGAGGCAGCCAACAGCTCAGCGCCACAATGCCAGCCAGAGGGTGGGGGCAGGTGAGAGCTGTGTAGAGGGACAGGGCCCCACCCTGGACGAAGGAGAAAATGAAGTCATGAGGGCACAGCTCACTTACCCACCCGCTCCACCCCCCCTCCTCACCTGCGAAAAGCCTCCCAGGACGATTCGGTTGGCAGGGATCCCATTCTTCATCTCGTGCTCAATCAAGGCCTTGACTGGGGGAAGGGGCATAACTGGGTGGGGAGAAGCCTCCGGAGGGACCCAGGAAGGGAGCCAGGCAGAGGTACCGCCCCGTGTTTTCCTGGGGGTCGGGGAGGGAGGATGCTGAGGAGGGACTGGGACCTTACTGTTCTCTGCTGCCTTCTTGATGCCAGCCTCATCCTCTGGGGCATCTGGACTCAGCCCCATCAGGTCAAACCTGGGGAAGCAAGGTATTTGCAGCTGTGGGAGACCAGCCAGCCTCCTGCAGCTCCCTTGGCTCAAGCCCCTCCCCACCCCTCCACCCCCATGCCTACCACCCACAAGCAAACTCACCAGGAAGGCATCACCATCTTCATGTTGAGTGTCACAGGGATCCTCGGCCTGGGGAGGAATAGCCAGAAGGCCCATCACACTCAGAGGGAGGAGGAAGCCACAGTGGAAAGCCTGGGAGGAGCAGAGCAGCCCCTGGGGGCCCCTCCCAGCAGGCAGGGCCTGTGTTTAAGGTGTTGCCAGGCAACCTGCCACGTGGGGCTGGAGGCTGTGCTTGGGGCATCAGCGCAATGGAGGAGCAGAGCCCAACACTGTGTGACGGGGTCCCAGCTTGGCTGGTGAGTACATGGGGAAGGGGCACTGGAAGGTGCTGGAAGGAGAGCTCAGGCCTAGGATCCTATTCCTGGGGGCTCCACAGGAGCAAAGGCTGAAAGTGGCACTTCTGACTGCCATGAGCCCAAGCCCCAGGATGCAGCTGATAGGAGGGAACAGGCCTGGGACGGTGGGACCACCCCCCAGCTGATCCCCAGCCCTGCCCCTCCCTTGCTGGGTGACACTCACGCATGGGGACAGATGTACTTGACGTGAGGGAGCCGGATGGTGGAGAGGGCGTCAGCCCAGCTGTGCCTGTAGGAGGGACGGGAGAAAAGGCACCGATGTAGGAAGAGAGGGAGCATGGCAGGCCTCTCCAGCCCTGCCGCTGGGCCTGGCCCCCACCCCAGGGAAAGCCCTCCCAGCTCACTCACCCTGTGTCTCCAAGTCCATGCAAAAAAATAACCTGGAAAAGGATGAGAAATGGGGAGATGAGGAGGTCCCCCCTAGGGCTTCCAACTTCTGCCCACCCCTCCCCCACCCAAGGATCTGGGGGGAACTGAGGTTGCAGCCAAGCAGATTATTAACCCAAGCCTCCTGGCTCCAGCAACTCCCTTCTCATCACTGCCACCACCAGTTTCCCACACCCACTCCGGCCAGTCCCCCAGCTGCCCCCAGCGGGTCCAGACATGGGTAAAAGGAGACCCTTACCGCAGCCGTTTCCCGCTCAGCTCCAGACACGGTGGCAGCATCGGTGAGCAGGGGCACAGACATGGTGTTACCACACATACACCACGCGGCTCCACGGCGGGGGCCTGCGCAAATGGGGGGGCAACCGGTCAAGAGCAAGGCCAGGCAGAGGAGAGCCTCCTGGCTTGAGGGGCCCACCCAGCAGCCAGGTTTCATCCTGGACACAAAGAATAGCCAGGCGAGAAATCCCCGGGCACAGGGCTAGGAAGTCTGCCTCGACTCCAGGGCCAAAGGGCAGAGACAGCCACCCTAGGAGACCAGAACCCGCCCCTGGTTCTGGTCCAACCACAGGACCTGAGCTTCCCAGTGATGGGCAGAGGCAGGACTTAGAGGCTGTGGGGCAAAAGTGGGGGAAAGACAGGGCACCCCAGCTGCTTTCCTTGCTAACTCTCCAGCGGGCAACTGCTGCCTCCCTGCTGTCAAACCCTCCTTTCTCTGGGTCCCCTTCTCCCCAGTTGCCAGCCCTACTGGGAAAGGAGGGGAGAAAAAATGCCAGAGAAATATGCTTCCAGCCACTACTGCGTCCCCCCATCCCCATCGCCAGCCTCCCTTCCTCCTTCCCATCCAGCCCCCATCCAGCCCCCACAGCAGTTGCTGGCTCATTCATTTCCAGAGCCCCTGGGGGCTGCCCAGATCCCCAGAAAGCATAAGGACTCCCGTCTGCCACCCACCCCCAAACTGGCGCTCCACGCCCCCCTGAGGGGGGCTACCTGATGCTGTTGCTGCCACTGACTCCAAACGGGCCCCAGCTTGACCACACTCTGGGACTCCCAAACACACAAAAGAACGTCGGCTAGCTGGCCCTTCCCCAGCGTTAGCGTCCTCCAAACTCCGCTGCCTGCCTCCAAGTGCCTGCCCTTCCCAGTGGCGCCCACCCTCCCAACTGGCTTCCATCTCTGACTCTTGAGTGCACCTCTCGGCAAGGGGCTCGTTCACCTCTGACCCTGGGATCCTTCTTCCCCCTCGGCAATGCACCTCCCGCCCTGAGTTGGGATTCCCTTCCTTCTCCTTGTGGGGACTTCCACCTCCCACCCAGGCTTCCCCTCTCAGAGGGGTGCCTTTCCCCCAGACCTGATGTCTCCCTCCCCACAGTAATAACTTCCACCCTGAGACAGGGTCTCCCACTCCCCACAATGGGAACTTCTGTTCTGGCCAAAGGTCACCCCCTCCCCACTGTGACATTTTCTATCCTGACCCAGGACTCGCACCTGCCCGCAAAGAGGCTTTCTACCTTTGACCCTGGGGAAGCCCCCGCCCCACAATGGGATCTTCCACTTCCGACCCCAAAGTTCCTCACGTCACACCCGGACACCCCCTTGCCTAGCCCCGCTCCACTCCCAAAGTCCCCAAGACCGGACAGCGCCTTCGCATCTCACTCCCCACCCCCCATCCTTCACAATCGCGGCTCCTCCCCCCCATTCCGCGGGACCCTCCCGGCGCCCCGACCTTCCGCCAGGTCCTCTCCCTGCCTGCTGGCCCGGCCCAGGGTACCTGCACTCCCTGGGCTTTCGAGACCACTCGGGCGATTCTCCTCTTTCTCCCGCACAGACACACACTCTTCCCCCTCGGCCGCCCCCGCCGGAACTTCCGTTCGAGTCCCGGGAACCCAGCCATCGCGCTGCCGGAAGTAGCCTGGCCAGCGGTACGGAACCCGGAAGTGGGGACAGGTCCTCGCCCCGTAGAAGCTGCCATGTTGGAGATGACGGGGCCCCTCCCTGTCATTCAGCCGCGGAGTCGCCGAGTTCCTGCCCGCTCCCACCTACAGAATCCAGACAGCGCATCCCAGACTCCCGTTTGCGACATCGCCCCAGCGCCTCCTGGAGGGCAGTTGCCTGGAAGGGTAGGAATCCCTCACATTTACTCGCCTGACGTTTACCACCTCCCAGCCCCATGGGACACACTTCCCATGCTCTTGGGTACCCGCCAGTGGTTTTCGGGCCCTATTCCAGGATCATAGATGGAATCACGCACTCTGAACCGAGACCTTACGGATCATCTAGTCCTCAGTCGTATTTTAAAGATGAGGAAGACCGGGCGCGCTGGCTCACGGCTGTAATCCCAGCACTTTGAGAGGCTGAGGAGAGAGAATTGTCTGAGCCTAAGAGTTCGAGACCAGCCTGGGCAACGTGGTGAGACCTCATCCCTACAATTAAAAAAAAAAAAAAAAGCCAGTCGTGGCGCGCGCCTGTAGTCCCAGCTACTTGGAAAGCAGAGGCAGAAGGATCGCCTAAACCCAGCAAGTCGAGGCTGCGGTGGCCATGACCAGTGCACTCCAGCCTGGGCGACAGAGTGAGACTCTGTGCCTAAAAAATAATTTAAAAATAAAAATAAAGATGAGAAAACTGAGGCTCAGGGAAAGGAAGAAAATAAATAGCCACCTCGGGATTACACTGTAATGCTACCTCTCTGAACCTGCTTCCTGAGCTATAAAATGGTGATAATAACCACCCTGCCCACTTCTCAGCTTTGCTGGTAAGCTCAAATAAGGTCGTGTGAACACACCTTACACACTGTAAAATCACAGCGGGAGGCCTTATTCACGCAAAAAGGACCCTGGGAAAGTACGCAGGCCACATCAGGATAGCTGGACAAGCATTGGCAGTGTTGTGTTAGCACTGCCCTCGAGGAGCAAGCATAAAATGCCACCATCAAATGAGCTTCAGTTGCTAAGAACAAAAAGGGTTTCATTTGGTCACCACTGACTTTGTGCTCCTTGCTGTCCTGGAAATGTGGAAATAGGGCTCAGGGACCACAGAAAGGCTGGAAGGGAAGCAAATAGTTGAAGGAGCAAGTCCCTGAGACAACGTGGGGATATGCAAACAGGAAATGAGTCACACTTGTCCCTCAGCAGCCTAGGACCTACTCACCTAGCTAAACCTATGCTAGCTTTTTCTTTAAACTGAAAGAAAGCAGTACAAACTTGGAAGCTCAAAAAAGCACATTTCTTCAGACCTAGAGGCCATTTGGTTTTAGTACTCAACAGGTCAAAAATGGAACCTAAGCTGGGCTCGGTGGTTCAGCCTGTAATCTCAGTGCTTTGGGAGGCTGAGGTGAGTGGATGGCCTGAGCCTGCGGGTTCAAGACCCACCTGGGCAACTTGGCGAGACCTCATCTCTACAATAAATCAAAATTAGCTGGGCGTGGTCGTACACGCCTGTAGTTCCAGCTACTTGGAAGGCTGAGGCGGAAGGATCACCGAGCCCAGCAGGTTGAGGCTGCAGTGGCCAGGAGCGGCCACTGAACTCAGTCCAGGTGACAGAGTGAGACTCTAACTAAAAAAAAATTAAAAATTAAAAAATGGAGCCTAAAATACCAGAATTCTGGGCAGGAAATCTTTGGGCCCAGGAGACCACAGCAAGCCAAGAATCCAGGACTGGATGTCAAAAAAAAAGGAGGTAAAAGTGGGAGGAAACAATATAGCTGTCCCTTCCCAACAGAATTCCTGCTGGGCCTGCTTATGCAGGAATGAACAGTTCCTCCTGCACCCCCTCACCTTAGACACCACGGCATTTTCTTCAGAGTGAAGCTTCAAATAATAAAATTAATGAAGGGCTAGTCAGCTCTAAGATTTGTAACTTTATCTTTCCCCCTACTACAAATTAAAATACAGCCTTTCTTTTATTTTTATCTCCAAAATGACCCAACTGAAATAAAGCCTGTGGCTGAGTAGGACCTTTAGTATTTCAAGAACTGTATTTGCATTCTGGTTGATTTCAGGCAGCACTCTAGAAATTTGTGAAGCCTGACAAGGTTTGGCGCTGACAGACTTTCCCTAAGACAGGCTGGAAAAAGTGGCTATATCCTCCTCAAAACAGTGTGGGCCAGTTCCTCTAGAGAGGATTGGATTTAACCAGTTCCCTTTATCATCTATTCCTATCTTCTTCAAGGGAGAGAACACTGACCATCTCAAATCCCTTTTTTTAGATACTTAAATTCTCTTCATTTACTGAACTTTCAAAATTTAAGTCCAAAGTCTTTGGTCCACCTTCAGATCGCATGTGCTACTCAACTACTTTCCTCATCCTCATTTCTTCTGATGAGCTCCAGAATCTGTTCTCCCTTATTTTTGTAAATGTCACTACATAAACTATTACCCTTCATGAGAAATAGAATACGAGTTTTTAACCCCAACTTCTTTACGACATGTGGATGTAGGAGTGATATTAGCCTATTGTATAGAATTAAGCTGAATCTTTCCTGGAGAAATTGATCTAGTCTTGATTTAATTGTGGCACTTCTGTACAGTTTACCTAGTCCAAAACAACACAAAACGTCAAAGTTCAGGCCGGGCACAATGGCTCACACCTATAATCCCAATAACTCAGGAAGTGGGAGAATGCTTGAGGCCAGGAGCTTGAGACCAGCCTGAGCAACATAGTGAGACCGTCTTTACACAAAATCAAAAAATTAACCAGACATGGTGGCATTATGTCTATAGTCCTAGCAACTCAGGAGGACTGCTTAAGCCCAAAAGTTGGAGGTTACAATGAGCTATGTCACCCACTGCACTCCAGCCTGGGGACAGAGCAAGGCCCCAAGTTCAAAAAATAATATTAAAAGTTCAATATGGTTCCCCATAAAATGAAAGTTTCTTCAATACTAACAAAAACTCAAAAGAAAACACAAACATTGCATCAGGCAAGGATTTATTAGGAAGCTTATTAGTCACAGTGAATAAAAGCCATGAAAAGAACTTAGAGATCTCCAAACTCTGGCACTGGACTTACAACACGAGTTAGAAGCTAATAAACATTAAGAAAGTTTCAAGGAGAATCATAATTAATTCTCAATATTACCCCAACCAAATTACCCAAAAATACAGAAATGATTCCCAAGCTCTCCCCAGATTGCTTAGCTAGGTAGTGGGAAAGAAGACCTTCTCCCAAGTTCTCACGCATTAGCAGGAGACACCTGCCCTTCTAGCTCTGACCACTTGTGCATGACAGACAACTCCAAGCTGGGCAACTTGACAAGAATGCTGAACAATGACAGGGGAAAGAAGCAGGCAAGAACACGTGTTTTTAGCTAGAGACCTTCCTGGTGGTGAATAAACACAATTCTGAGGCTTCAGAAAGTTTTCTGTAGCCCATCAAGAGTTTCCACGTTTTTAAAACCTAAGTCACACAACAATCCTGCCACAAAGCAACAAGATACCTGGAATCCCATGGCCACATCGACTGAAAAGGAAGCGTTATTCAAGACTGCCAGATGCCACCCAGCCCCAGACCCAAGTTCTGCAGTGCTCTAGAGAAGCACGATTGTCCCTCAGTGCCCACACAACCCTCCCAGTGGTGTGGTATCTTCCGTAGGCCAGGTTTCTGCAGCAAGCCCAAAGACCAAGCTTGACACAGGCTGTGGCAGCCACCTCTCTCTGGAACCTCATCCCTTTGTCCTTCCCAACAGGTAGTCGTACATCTTCACTGACATGGCGCCTCTGTGGGAGCCTTGGCTAGCCCTTAGGAAATGAAGTGTGTCTGTGGGGTAACCTGATGGACCCTGTGGTCTGCTGGGTTGGCCGATGCTTCAAAATTGCAGATGGTCACCTCATGTCGGCGAAGCTGCAAGAAAATTGAGAGGCTGGGTGAGCTGGCCTTTAAAGAACTGTCCATTCCTAGACCACATACATTGCAGGTTCATTTCTACAAGTCATCATCGTAAACCTTGCCTCCTGATACTTTTTGAGAAGTCTGCAAAGATCATTATCAATGATTCCCCCCTACTCTATTGGGATACCATGAGAACATGAACTTGTTTATCTTATATTAGCTTATCTCCAGTGCCTGGAACAGGAAAGATGAATGGAAGAATTTGAAAGTGAAAAACTGAATTAATATGAATTATATGATTTCAAGTCCCTTAAAAACATGTATAGTCTGTCAAATTAGACAGTTTATAGTGATGAAACCAAGAAAAATTGCAAACAAATGGAGCAACTGATGTCTCACTTGCCCTTTTTCTTCTCTGAAAGCTCCCACCACCACAGTGTGCCGATATATATCCATGGACATGAGGGGCAACCTTTCAACACCATCTTACCTCAGTCCATTCTCCTCTCAGGCCAATATAAAAGACCTTCGTGGTATCTGCTCCGAAGTTTTTTGAAATATGAATCGAAAGATGATAAACATTTGAAAAACGAGAAATTCTAGATGAAAGGAATAGGGAGAGAAGACACAGGCTCAATGAGTATCTCACCACCATGTCAAACAATTCAGCTCCAACTTGTAAAACCCAGGCAAAAGTCAGAACACTCTTGGGTTCTTCCTTCTCATTCTTCTTCTTTGGACAAGCAATTAATTCAATGAACATTTACAGAGCATATGCCAGATCCTGTCTAAGGCAGTAGGGACAGAGAGATGAATGAACACTGCTTCTGCCCTCAAGGAAAAGGAATGATAAATACTACATAACCCAGCAGGGATTCTAAAGCACATTTCGTTTTGACCTTTTTCCCTTAGGAAACAGATAAAACCTATGAAGAGATAAGGCAGTCACATGTAACTCACTAGGCAAAGAAGAATTCCGAAAACATCTTTCCAAAGACCACCCTTGGAGTTCATTCAGATCTGCCAATTGCTTAGAAGTTAACAAGTTTGTGGCTTGCCCTGAATCTCTGCCAAAACTGACCAAGCCAAGGATCAAGCTGCCTCCGCTGTTTTAACTCATTTCTGATGCTGAGAGCAGGAGACTGGCCAAAAAGCAATGGCCAACCCCACAGGCACTGAAGCATACTCACTCATTATGAAGGCAGGAGTGCCTGGGGCTCCTCAGGAGCCACCACAGAAAGGGGAGGACAGATGCAGTGCTTACTTTGTGGCATACTCTAATTCCCCAGTTAGATCCCGGTTCAGACTAAAGGTCTGATCTGGCTCCCTTTCTGTGTCATCAAAGGACATCTGTGGAATGTTCTTGTACCTGAGGAAAGGAAGAAAAGTCAAGAAACGTGCATTATTGCGTTTTTCAAACTGCTCAACTGGCTTTGGTTATATCAAAAGGCGATTAAATTTGGGGGTCAAAGTTTTAGAAGTGGCTTTTAATTGGCATCTATATACAAATATCTTTAATCCAGTAAGAAAAAGCTGAGATCTGCAACAAACCCCGTGGCATCTTTGAGTGGGTTAAGATCACATGGAAAGCAATACACAAAGAGATGGCTCAAACTAGGCCACGTGCAGCAAATGCACAGAGAAAATAGATAACTCAGCACATTCAGACCCAGCTGAGAATGTTATTAAATAAAACAGCTTACTCATGGGGAAAAAAAAAACATACTTTGGCAGAAACATATTACACACAGTTAAGAGACAAGATCAGGTTAACCTAATGCTCAAGCAATTTTTGTGTCCAAAAATTGTGCCATATACTCAGTCATCTCACAGTTCTTAAAAAAAAAAAAAAAAATTGGGGGAAAGCACAAAAGGCTGCAACCTCACAACTAAACTTCTAGTGAAGAAAAAACTTTTTTGGCCAGGCGCGGTGGCTCAAGCCTGTAATCTAAGCACTTTGGGAGGCCGAGGTAAACAGACTGCCTGACTCCATGGGTTTGAGAACAGCCTGGGCAACTTATCAAGACCTCATCTCTACAATAAATTAAAAAATTAGCCAGGCATGGTAGCACACACCTGTTCCAGCTATTTGGAAGGCTGAGGTGGAAAGATCCTGGAGCCCAGCAGGTCGACACTGGAGTGGCCGTAAAGCATGCCACTGCACTCCAGCCTGGGCAATGGAGTGGGACTCCAACTCAAAAAAAATTTTTATTTTTTTCCAAAGAAAAATCTAAAAAACAGTTGTCTCTATAACTCACAATTTCCCAAGGACTAAGCCACACATCCTCACAAACTCCAGGGTGTTTTATTAACACACCTACATGAAAGGCACATTGATATTAGCTGCAGCAAAATGCATATATCACAAAAGCAAATGTTTTCTTCAAAGTGTTTCTAAGAATGATGCACAACAGAATAATAATCATAGGAAACATTTATGAGCAGCATTATGAGAGGCAGTATAGCACTATAGTTAATAACAGTGTCTGGAGCTTAACTTCCTGGGTTTCAAGCCTTCCTCTGTCACTTATCAGTTGTGCAAATTAGGGCAACTGATTTAACCTCTATGTCTTTTTCCTCATTTGTAAAATGGGGATAATGATAGTACATATCCTATACAGGTGATGTGGAGATTAAACCGCATAAATTCTAAGTGATGCATATATATATATTTTTTTTCCTTGGGGGAGTAGTCTCACTTTGTTGCCCAGGCTGGAGTGCAGTGGCATGCTCACAGTTCACTGCAGCCTCAAACTCCTTGACTCAGGCGAGCCTTCTGCCTCAGTTTCCCAAGAAGGTGTGCTACCAAGCCTGGCTATTAAAAAATTTTTTTTGTACAGATGAACTCTTGCTATGTTGCATAGGCTGGTCTTGAACTCTGGGCTTAAGTCATCCTCCTGTCTCAGCCTCCCAAAGTGGGATTACAGGCATGAGCCACCATACCCAGCCAGGATGCATATATTTAAACAGACCTTAGTACTGAAAATTTCAAACATACATAAAAGCAGAGAGAATATAAAGAATCTCCCCATACTTCTCACTCATCTTCAACTTATGTTGATGTTGCCTATCACTCCCATTTGTTTATGCTTAACATTTAAAGCAATCCCAGACATATCATTTCACCCATAAATACTTCAGTATGTATCTCTAAAAATAAGGCCTTTTTTTTTGAGTTGGCATCTCAATCCATCACCCAGGCTAGAGTGCAGTACCAAGCTCATGGTCACCCCAGCATCGACCTGCTGGGCTCCAGTGATCCTTCCGCCTCAGCCTTCCAAGTAGACAGAACTAGAGGTGTGCGCTACCATGCCCAGCTCATTTATTCATTTATTTATTTACTGTAGAGATGAAGTCTCACCAAGGTGCCCAGGTTGTTCTTGAACCCATGGGCTCAGGTAATCCCCCCACCTTAGCCTCCCAAAGTGCTGGGATTACAGGCTTGAGCCACCACGCCTGGCCTAAAAATAAGGCCTTTAAAAAAAATACCTATGATATCATTTTACAATAATTAACAAATCGACAATTAACAAAATTAGCAGTCATTCTTTAATATTATGTAACTCCTAGTTAATGTTCAAATTTCTCTGATTTAAAACACTCAATTCAACTTTTCTGGATGTGTCATAGTTGAATAGGTAGGATTATTTTTTTTCTGTATTACTTGTACATAAAATAATAGTTCATTTTACAATCAATGGTATCTTAGACTTAATAAAATATAATGTATTTTATAGAATTGAGGGCTACTGGTTGAGCAAAGTGGCTCATGCCTATAATCTCAACACTATGGGAGGCCAAAGCAGAAGGAACACTTGAAGCCAGGAGTTCCAACATCAGCCTAGGCAACAAAGTGAGACCATGTCTCTGCAACAAGGGTTACGTACATATCTGGCTGCCCAGAACTGGGTACCATGTTTCAGACCTTCTCTGAGCTCTTTAAATATATCCCAGCCAGGAGGGGTAGCGCGCACCTGTAGTTACAGCTGCTTGGAAGGCTGAAGCAGAAGGATTGCCTGAGCCCAGCAGGTCGAGCCTGCGGTGGCTGTGAGAGTGCCACTGCACTCCAGCCTGGGTGACAGTGAGACTCTGACTCAAAAAAAAAAATTATAGCCCATTTAAGCTTCTTCACAATCTTATGAAGTAGGTACTATTACTACTCCCATTTTAGATATGAGAAAATCAAAGGATAGAAGATAGGTAATGTTCCAAAGTCATGAAATTAGTAAGTATTGAATTTGAACTCAATTTATGCCAGAGCCCACACTTAACCACAATACCACAGAGCTGTCTAGTCTTCTGAAGTCAATCCATTACCTTCCAAGTAAATGAGTCTCCAAAAGCATCAGATGAAACATACTATTTCCTTAAAATGATTCAATATGTGAAGTTGCTTTCAAATTCATGTTTCTAGCACTCAAAAATAGTTTTTGTTTGTTTGTTTGTTTTGAGTCAGAGTCTCATTCTGTCACCCAGGCTAGAGTGCAGTGGCACACTCACGGCCACTGCAGCCATGACCTGCTGGGCTTAGGTGATCCTTCCTCCTCAGCCTTCCAAGTAGCTGGAACTACAGGTACATGTTACCACACCCAGCTAATTTTTTATTTATTGTAGAGATGAGATTTCACCAAGTTGTCCAAGCTGATCTCAAACCCATGGGCTCAGGCAATCCTCTCACCTCGGCCTCCCAAAGTGCTGGGATTATAGGTGTGAGCCACCATGCCCGACTAAAAATATAGTATACTTTAATTCTCTCTAAAGTCCATTTAAACTCATAGATTTTTCTGATGAAATTTTTTAATGTAAAGTTCTTCTGATATTGGTTTCTCCAGCACTCAAGAAGCAGTTTTCCCCTTCTTTTAGGGTGGCTATCCTGGAATAAAGTAAGTTGTCAACAGGAGAGTATTGGCCAGGCACGATTGCTCATGCCTGTAATCCCAGCACTCCGGGAGGCCAAGGCAGAAGGAATGCTTGAGTCCAGGAATTTGAGACCAGCCTAGGCAACACAGCAAGACGCCTATCTCTACAAAAACATTTAAAAAATATTAGCTGTGTGTCGGTGCCTCTAGTTCGTTTCTCAGGAGGCTGAGGTGGAAGGATCACCGGGGCCCAGGAGGTGGAGGCTGCAGTGAGCCATGATCGTGCCATTGTACCCCAGCCTGGGTGACAGAGTGAGACCCCAACTCCAAAAGAAAAAGAAAAGATCCAGGTGTTGCAAGAGGTTTACAGAACTTTGCTAACTAAGACCACACAGATTCAGATGGAGTAATTCCATGTCAACAAAACACATGCAAAGATCATTACTGTGTGAAATAGCAAGGTGAACATTTGAAGCTAACCCTAGAATCCATAAAGATCATATGAGATTTGCAGCTGGTTATTAAGAAAACTGCAAAGTCATCAACAAATGGCATTTACAGAATGTTCTCTGAATGAATGGCAAGCACTTTGGGAAAAGATACAAGGTGTTGGCCCTAAAGATGCTTAACCTAAAAAAGTCACTAACTCAGAAAAAGATGTGTATTCCAATGCAGAATGAAAACAAGGCCAAGATATGTTATTTAATTTTTTTAAAATTTCATTTTATTATAGAGATGTGGGGTACAAGTAAGAATTAAGTACACAAGTAGGCTGCATGCAGGTTAAGTTTGGTCCTCCAACTAGCCCTCACTTTCCCTTCTTTGGGACCATGTACCCTTTGTGTTGTTACATCTGTGTCCCCCCACCCCTGCCAAGATACTTTAAAAGGTGAAATATTAAAACCAGTAAAAAGAAAAATAACATTATTGTGGAATAAAGTGTTATCAGAAGAGAAAATTAGGAGCTTCTTGAGGGCCTATGCCCTTGCCACTTACAGTCTCATCTCAGACGGGTGTGAGTCATCGTCCTCTCCCATTATAATGATGCCTTTGAGCTTGACATTGCCCGTAAATCTGCCAGAATTCAAAAGAGAAGGTTGTCAACCTGGGTTTGAATACATGCTTAGCTGTGGGACCCTGGGCAAGACCCTTCCACTTTGGGGGCTTCAGTTTACTCAGCTGTCAGACTTGTACTAGATAATTTCTAAGATCCTGTCTACCTCCGGCATTCTACAATTCTGAGAAATTTGCCTCAACTTCTCAGTTATCGCTCAACAAATACATCTCTCCAGTCTGCACCACAAAAGCTATGATGCTTTCCTCCTCAAACCCACCAGTCATACCCCATTTCTAAAAATAGTTGTGTGCTCCTGACACAACCAATGAATGAATCCATCTGAGGAGGCAATTGGGTACAGCCTATTTAGCCTGAGGCAGGCACCAAGGAGATACTTACGGAATATTAAACAGAAGCTCTTCATCTGCATCACTTTCAACAAACTGGAGGGAATGGGGAGGGGGGAGGAGAAAGCAACAAATATTTGCTGAGCGCCTACAACTTCAGGCGTCTCCCACCCTGTTCTACAACGGGGGTGCAATGCAATCTTCCTCGGTTTTCCAGAATTTATTAACTTGAAGCTAAGCAGCCTTATCCAGTGTCCTGACTGCCACAGACCATCCAATTAGACGGTTCTTAATGAGAAGCTCGCGAATGAATTTCCAGAATCGAAGAGCCTCTTCAACAGTGAACTGAAACACAGGTGCTTGTGTGTATTTCTCTGGGGAGAGGGTCCATAGCTTTCAAAAGGCTAGTAATGGGGCCTGTGACCCCGCAACGGCAAAGAACCTGTGTTCTAGATAGGAGAGACACCCTTCGTTTCCCTAGGCTGGGCTTCGCTGGAGACATGATAAGGCAGCCATAGGGACCGATGGTCAAATGGAAGGGAAAACGCCCTCACAGCCATCCTCTCTCACCCACACAGCCCTGGAATAGAGCCTTAGGCGGTGTAAAGACAAAGCCCCCCTTTCCTTCTCTGGGCCTCGGTTTCCCTATACGTAAAAACGGGAGAACTCAACCCGGCTCGCCTCCCTAAGAGGTGGCAGGAGGCAGGCCCGGAAACGCGCTTGGCAGCCGGGCTGTCGTTATTTTTAACATCAGGAATGAGCAGGCGGCCGGCGAGGCCCTCGCGGATCCCGCCCCGCCCGCCCCGGGCGGCCCACCTTGGAGCGGTCGGTCCGCTCCTCCCACGGCTTGAAGACGCCGCGGCCGCTGCCCTCGCGGCTCTCGTTAAGGCACTGCAGCCGCTCCAGGTCGATGCGCAGGTACAGGCCGTAGGCCAGGCCGCGCTGCTCGGGCGGCTCCTCCCGCTCAGCGGCGCAGCGACAGCCGCCCCCGCCGTGGCTGTGGCCGTGCGACATGGCGACACCACGGTCCGCTCGGCCCCTCAGCCCGACGGCCGCACTCGCTCGCTCGGCTCCGCTCCAGCCGCCAAGCGCACCGCGCCCGCGCGTCGTAAAAAGCGCTCCTGTGCGGCGCATGCGCCCTAGGAGCGCGGGGGGGTGGAGGGCGGGGCTCGGAGGGGTTGACGTCGCCGGCGTCTTCCTTCCAGGTGTCTCCTTCAGCCCCGGAGGCGGATGCTGGTGCTTTCCCAGCTTCGCACACATGGAAACTGAAGGGCAGAGAGATTAAGCGGTGTACTGTCGGGCTGGGATTCGGAACTTCCTCCCCCTAAGGTTAAAAGTCTGTACTCTGTTCCTTGACCGCCTCGTTTCTTTGGTGGAGGAAGGCGTTGGGATAAGGCCCTGGGGACTGGGAGCACAGCCTTATCGCTGCCCACTCGTGCACGCTTAGGCGTTGAGAGCTCACACACCCACTTTCTTGACCATCTTCTTGATAACGGGCTGAGAGCTCTCGAGCACGGGCTTTGTTGGACGGCCAGACCTGCAGACAAGTCCTGGGTCTGCTACTGGCCGGGTGACACTCTAGAAGTCATTTTTCCTATTCTGAGACTCCGTTTCCTCGTCTCAAAGTAGGAAGAAGAATATCTGTTTCATAGGATCACAGCGGGTGTTACATGAAATAAAGCAGCCGCGTGCTGGGGCTCATGCCTGTAATCCCAACACTTGGGGAGGCAGAGACGAGAGAATTGCCTGAGCCCTGGAGTTCGAGAACACCCTGGGCAACTTGGTGAGACCTCGTCTCTACAATAAATTAAAAAATTAGCCGGGCGTGGTAGGCGGGCATATGTAGTTCCAGCTACTTGGAAGGTAGTGCTGGGATTACAGGCTGAGCCACCGAGCCCAGCCAATCCATGTGATATTTCAGAGCAATATTTTTCTTTTTCTTTTTTTTTGAGTTGAATTCTCACTCTGTCGCCCAGGCTGGGGTGCAGTGGTACACTCACGGCCACCGCAGCCTGGACCTACTGGGCTTAGGTGATCCTTCCACTTCAGCCTTCCAAGTAACTGGAACTACAGGCATGCACTACCATACCAGGCTAGAGCAGTGTTTTTCAAACAGCTGGTTATGACCTATTAATAGGTCTTAAAATCCCTTTAGAGGATGTGACCAACATTTTTAAAAATTAGAATTAAAGACTGGGCGGGAACAGTGGCTCATGCCTATAATCCCAGCACTATGGGAGGCTGAGGCAGGAGGATTGCTAGAGCTCAGAAGTTTGAAACCAGCCTAGGCAACATAGTGAGACCTCATTTCTACAAAAAGATTTTTTGACCAGGCGCAGTGGCTCAAAGCTTGTAATCCCAGCACTTTGGGAGGCTGAGGCGAGAGGATTGCCTGTGCCCACAGGTTCAAGAACAGCCTGGGCAATTTGGCGAGACCTCATCTCTACCATAAATCAAAGAATTAGCCAGGCGTGGTAGTGTGTGCTTGTAGTTCCAGCTACTTAGAAGGCTGAGGCGGAAGGCCAGCTGCCATATTATGAAGACACTCAAACAGTCCTAAGGAGAATTTCACATGGCAAGGAACTGAGGCCTACTGCCAAGCCTGGGCAAACTTGCCAGCAGTAGGAGTGCGCCATCTTGGAAGTGACTTCTCTAACCCCAGCCAAGTCTTCAGGTGACTTCAGACTCATGAGAGACCCCAAGCTAGAAGCACCCAGCTAAGTCGCTCCCAAATTTCTGATCAAAGAAACTGTGAGATAATAAATACTGTGTTAAGCCATGAAGTCTAATAGTCATTTGTTACAAAAGATTCTTTTGTGGGTGGGGTGAAGGGGGGAAGGAAGTTTCGTTTTGTTACTCAGGCTGGTCTTGAACTCCTAGGTTCAAGAAATTTTCCTGCCTCAGCCACCTGAGTAACTGGGACTATAAACACATGCCACCACTCCTGGCTAGTTTTTAATTTTTTGTAGTGATGGGATCTCCCTATGTTGCCCTGTGCTGAAGCAATCCTCTTGCCTCAGCCTCACAAAGCACCAGGAGCTACCACGTCCAGCCCATCCATTTATGACTTTTTTTATTTTTTTTTTGGAGTTAGAGTCTCACTCTGTCGCCCAGGCTAGAGGGCAGTGGCACGCTCCCGGCCACCGCAGCCTCGACCTGCTGGGCTCCGGCAATCCTTCCGCCTCAGCCTTCCGAGTAGCCGGAATTACAGGCATGCGCTATCATGCACAGATAATTTTTTGATTTATTGTAGAGATGAGGTCTCACCACGTTGCCCAGGCAGGTCTCGAGCCTGCGGGCTCAGGCAGTCCACTCACTTCAGCCTCCCAAAGGCACGGGATTACAGGCTGAGCCACCGAGTGCGACTCATTTATGACTTTTTAAGTGTGTCTCTCTCTGTACTCTTGCCTAGTCCCACCAATATTAAGTATGGCCCACTAGGCAAGTTGCTTAATCTCTCTAGACCTCAGATTTGTCTTATATAAAATGGGAATAATAAAGTACCTACTTTGTAGAGTTGTGTGATGACAGTGATATAACCCATGAAAAGTATTTGCTGCAACATCTGGTCCACCAGGAAAGGTGTTACAATAGATCCCCCACCCCCATTTTCAGTTTTGACTTCCAAGGCTTCAGTTACTCACAGTCAGCTGAGGTTCAAAAATATTAAATGGAACATTCCAGAAACCAACAAGTTTAAAATTGCACGCTGTTCTGAGCAGCGTGATGAAAACTTGCACCATCTTGCTTTGTCCCACCTGGAATGTGGATCATTCCTCTTGTCCAGCGTCCAGACGCTGGACACACTTCCTGCCAGCGAGTCTCTCAGCAGCCTTCTTGCTCTCAGATCTACTGTCTCAGTATCACAGTGCCTGCGTTCAAGTCACCCTTACTTTACTCAATAACAGCCCCAAAGCACAGGAGAAGTGAAGCTGGCAATGTCAGATATACCAAAGAGAAGTCATAAAAAGCATCCTTTAACTGAAGAGGTAAAAAGTTCTCAACTCAATAAGGAAGGGGAAAAAACGTCATTTGCTGAGATTGCTAAGACCTACAATAAGAATGAATCTTTTTTTTTTTTTTTGAGTTGGAGTCTCACTCTGTCACCTAGACTGGAGTGCAGTGGCACACTCATGACCATCGCAGCCTTGATCTGCCAGACTCAGGTGATCCTTCTGCCTCAGCCTTCCAAGTAGCTGGAACTACAAAGCTCACACCACCATGCCTGGCTAATTTTTTAATTTATTGTAGAGATGAGGTCTTGCCAAGTTGCCCAGGCTGGTTTTGAACCTCTAGACTAAAGTCCTCTCGCCTCAGCCCCCAAAGTGCTGGGGTTACAGGCATGAGCCACCGCACCTGGCCAATTTATATAAATTGATCGTAGGTGTGTATGTATGGGAGAAAACAGTACTGTACATCAAGGGCTCAGTACTGTACATCAAGGGCTCAGTACTGTCTGTGGTTTCAGGCATCCCCTGGGCAGATAAGTAAGGACTACAAATAGTCCCCAGTTTATTGTGGTTTGACTTGAGAACTTTCGATTTTACGATGATCAAAAGCGATACAAATTCAGTGTGCTCCTCAACTTACGAGGTAAATGAAAAATATCTTCAGTGGACAAGCATCTATCGTGCTTTCACAGTGATTGTCACTATTGCCACGAGCAAGGCTATCGACGCAGCACCCCTGTCTAGTTGGATGGGAAATTGCAGTTGCTAGGGAGCTGGATTTGGAAGGAGCGGTCCAGGGTTGCAGGGTGGCTTAGCTGTGACTTGGGAATACTGCTTTGTGCCTCTGCTTACTGCCTCTTCTCTTACACTCTATGTTGCAGGAATGTCTGAGGACAAGTGGAAATTCTCACTGATTTCTAGGAATACCCTGGAGAAGGGAAGAAAAGTTTCCAAGTTTTTTCTTTCTCCCATTGCTCCATCTCCCAGGCTCCATCTGTGAGCTCAAAGACTATTTTCTTTCTCTCAGGCTCCATCTGTGAGCTCAAAGACTATTGGATTTGTGTTCATTTTCCTCTCAATATGGCTGGAGAAAGGTGTGTCAACTGTTTTTTTGTTTTGTTTTGTTTTTACTTTGTTTTTCTTTTTTTTATTTTGATGCAGAGTCTCACTCTTTCACCCAGGCTGGAGTTAAGAGGCACACTGCTCACGGCCACTGCAGCCTCAACCAGCTGGGCTCAGGCAATCCTTCCACCTCAGCCTTCCAAGTAGCTGGAACTACAATCCACACCAACATGCCCGCCTAATTTTTTTGATTTACTGTGGAGACGAGGTCTTGCCCTGTTATGCAGGCTGGTCTTAAACCCATGAGCTCAGGTAGTCCTCTCGCCTCAGCCTCCCAAAGTGCTGGGATTACAGGCGTGAGCCACCACGCCTGGCTTGTTATTACTTTTGAATACTTCTTTGTGACAAACTGAGGACATAGTGATAATATAACAACCGTAAGACACTAATAATTTATCAAAGACTGTCCTAAGGGCTTTACTTATATAATTTTTTAATCTTCATAATTCCAAGGGTTTTTATTATTATCTTTATTTTGTAGGTGAGAAAACTGGGGCACAGAGAGTCTAAGTAAATTTCCCATGGTCACACAGGTAGGTAGTAGTGGAACTAGAATTTGAAGCCTCCAGGGTCCATATTCTAATTTTTTTTTTTTAGTTGGAGTCTCACTCTTATCTCCCAGGCTGGAGTGCAGTTGGCATACTCACAGCCACCACAGCTTCGACCTGTTGGACTTAGGCAGTGCTTCTGCCTCTGCCGTCCAAGTAGCTGGAACTACAGAACATACGCTACCAAGCCTGGCTAATTTTTTTTGTGTGTGTGACTTATTTATAGAGACGATGTCTCACCAAGTTGCTGGTCTTGAACCCCCGAGCTCAAGCAATCCTCTCACCTTGGCCTCCCAAAGTTCTGGTATTACAGGCTGAAAAAAATTCCCCAGGCATGGTAGCGTGTGCCTGTTGTTCCAGCTACTTGGAAGGCTGAGACAGAAGGATCATCTGAGCCCAGCAGTTTGAGGCTGTGGTGGCCATGATTGTACCACTGCACTCCAGCCCAGGTGACAGAGTAAGTCTCTGACTCAAAAAAAAAAGAAAAAGAA